AACACCCATCTCTGACGAGTCAGCCTGTGCTGTCCCCGCTAACACCTCTGGCTGGTTTTTCCACCCCGGGTGTCTGCAGTCGCACTATCGGTTCCGCAGTTTCCTGCAGTTCCTATGCAGCAAGTTCACGATGCTGGGCTGGTTTTTGTCGTAACAAAACAAAAAAAAAGAGAAGGGAGAGGGGAGGGGAAAAGAAAAAACTTTTAAAAATAGGAAAATGTTGGCAGTCACAATCGCTTTGGCAGCGGCTCGGGGCAAACGCAGAGCTGAAACCGCTCTGGAAGAGCCGGAATGAACTCGGCGAGCCCTTCTTTGGTGGTGGTGTGAACACAGGAGAACGTGTGGTGGTAGAACCTTGCACCGAGCTGGAGGTTTTTGCTTTGTAGCTGTCGAGAAAACTACAAAAGCAACTTTCTGCGCCCGTTTTATGAATGGCGCTGCAGGAAGTCTGCTTCGATAAAGAAAGCGTCGCCAGGTCGTTATTGCAAGTCAAAAGTCTTGAAGTCAAGTGTCTTAGAGCCACAACGGTCACATAATTATACCAGAAATTCTGCTTTGACTTCTTGGCATGGGCGGGAGATAGAAGGTTAATTGGAAGGTTGACTAGAGATGGCAAACTGGAAGTCTTGCTGCCAAACATCCCTGGAAGTGTTCAAGGCCAGGTTGGATGGGGCTTTGGGCAACCTGGTGTGGTGGAGGGTGTCCCTGCCCATGGCAGGGGGGTTGGAACTAGATGATCTTTGAGGTCCCTTCCAACCCAAACCATTCTATGAAGTCAAGGATATTTTATGCTTAAAAAAAAAATCATCTTACTGGCTCTGAAATAAAACTACCAGAGCAAAATGCCCCACAAGCCAAAAATTCCCCTTGGGCCTGGCTGCAAGTGCTGGGTCGGTAATACCGGAGAAGCTCCGCACCGGTACAGGGCTTGGTTTTGCTGGGAATGTCGGTGTAGCAGATCTGGCATGAGCCTTTTCCCCTGAGCTGGATGGTAATGGTCCCATAATGTGGAATTTTTACCCTACAGCTGGGCTTTAATCTGAATTCTTTTTGAAACTTCCCGTGCAGGGTCTGAGCCCCCGGCTCACAGACCCAAACAACCAACATTTTCCCACTCTGAGTTTGTCCCACTTCAGATCTGCAGATTTATTATCAGCAAACCCTTTTGCATGTGGTTTGCCTGTCACCTGCTTCACACCTGTAGAGAAAACCAAGAGCCTCGACCAACCGTCCATCCACCCAGCAGTGACATGGACAGGACCCTTTTGGTCACCTAAACTACACCCAGCTCTTAAATTTTTGAAGAGTTTGGTCACCTTAAAAACCTATTACAATAAATCACCTCATCTGCCTCCCCCATTTTTCATGTATAATCAACACAGAGCAGAAACACCTCTGGAGGAAGGTCATAGAATCATAGAATGGTTTGGGTTTGAAGGGACCTCAAAGCTCACCCAGTTCCAACCCCCCAGCCATGGGCAGGGACATCCTCCACCAGCGAGGTGTGGGCATATGGAGAACGTGGGGTGCGGTGTCCTCCTGGACGCCCAGAACTCCTGTCCTGGCTGCGTGTGGCAGCCATGGCAAGCAACAACGAGGTGGAGACTGAGGAGAGGGAGATATTAATTAGAAAACAAATTAAGAAGTCTGTAAGGTTGTTCTCTGTCCCTTTCGATATACCGTCGGGGCACAGGTCACCATGTGGAAACGGGGAGGGAATGTGTGTCTTTGGGAGGTGGTAACGGAGCTGTGACACCTCCGCTTCCCTTCACCCATGTGATGTGCTGGGAACGTGTTATGCTTCCAGCATGATGGAAAGTTTGGGAAGCTGTAAAAGAGATATTGTGGGTAAGGAAGAGCAGCTGAATGGCGTGGGGAGGTGAGCCTTGGGTGGCAGAGCTGGTCCGTGTCCCTGTCACCGGGCACTGGTGAAAGCCCTGCGCTCGCCTTGGGTTCAGTCCTTCTCTGAGAACACATGAACCAAAGTTTCTCCTTCATCTGCTCAGGTTTTGCTTAATTTACCTTCCAAAACAGAGAGATGTTCTGTCTTTGGGAGTCCACGTCCTGCTGTCGGTACCAGACATCCAGGAGCCCGGTCGGCACTGGTGTGGAAGGAAAAGGGTGAGCAGAATTAATGGCTGGGTTTTGAAGCAAACAAACAAGACATTGCATAGGTGAAGGAGGTAAAAATCCTGAGACAACTAAAATTTAAGCTTTAAAATGTCTCTGAAATGATGCAGTATGTACCAGCCCCTATTTGTTGCGGCAACTGGAGTTCAGCTGATGATGGAACCTATGAAGAGAACAAGCCATAAACCCAAGAGAGGACTTTGATCTGCTGGTAACTTTACCCTGCCCTTGGCCATCAGGATGGCTCCCAAGGAAGCCAACACATCAAGGTGACGGTATTAGCTCTCATCTTTGCATGAAAGTTGAGGCTGGTTAAGGTCCTTGGGGTCAGCTCCATTAGTCCTTAAAATTATGGGACAGCCTCAGGTGAGAGGGTTTGTAGAATCCGTAGGACTTCACTGTCTGGCTCTAGGCAATAGAAGTCTTTAACAGCCAGCTGGTAGGACCTGGTCAGAGGCACCTTAAAACTCCTGTACCTTCCACAATTCTCCTTGTAGTCACAGAGCGACTGGAAACCCTTGCTGGTTTGAATAAACCTTCCAAAATAACCCTCAGGCAAACTTCTGGCTGCAGAAACCGGTGAATGTGCTCCAACAGTTCAGAATCAGAGACCCACAAAGAAAGTCAACGTGACGAAAGGTAACGAAGCTCAGTTCCCCAAGGTCTCCGACCAAAATAAACCCATCTAATTCCATACTAATTGTTGCTAATAACCAGGCAGCTGTTGCACAGCCCCAGCTGGAAGGGGGCTGCTATTTCCTATATTCAAAGACAGAAGCCCCCGGTGCCACCAAAGTTAAGAGCTGTTTGTCCTGTTTTAACAGCAAATAGTGACTGGCACAGAAACCAGAAGCGGGACTGGGAGAAGGAGTAAAACCAGAGCATGCTCGCTGTGAGCGAAGGAGGAAGGGGCAAGCTCAAAGCAGGAAAAAATAAAATATGGGCTTGCATCTCTTGGACTCCAACCCGGATTTTGAAGTTCATCTCACACGTGAACCACACGAATCAGCTGGAACAAAAAATAAAATATGCTCACTTGCAAACAGTGCTGGCATAAAGGAAATTTGGTGGCAGGTCAGCCTTAGAGAAACAGGAAAAAAAGGACCCATTGGAAAAGGACACTCCTGGGCTTGCAAAAGGCCAAACTCATGTGTAGAACTTCAGCTCCTTCAAAGAAAGGTGACCATGATGTACCCAGAGCTTCTCGTCTGCAACCTCCCCTTGCTTGTCCCTAGTCTGAGGGCAGAAAACGCGCCTCCGTCAGCTAAAAAATTCTCATTCTGTAGCGCCGGCTGGGTAGGGAGGGGTGGTGACCACAAACACCGGGGTGCGTCGAGAAGGTTGAGAAAACTGTTGAGAGGAAGGTGGGGGAGGGAAGGAAAAGTTCACACCTTTTGCATCAATCAATGCTTCTTACAGAAACTGATGCCGTCAGTAGTGGTAAATAGCATGAGTAATACCTCCACCAGCCTGAAGAACTTATAGTAATTCACCAAAAAGAGCAACGACAGCAGAGGAGACAAAAGGAGGAGAAGCCAAAGCAGCTGACACATCTTTGTTGAAGCACAAGCTTCTGAGATGCTTTCTTCTCTCGTCAGAACTGAAAGTTTTGCAGCGTGTGAGTTCGTGCAGCCCAAGGCAGCCCATACCAAGGTTGGCAGAAACTAGCAGAATTGTCCTCAGATTGGTGCTGTGTGTCCCTGGAGCCTGCGGTGCCGTCCTCTGGAGCAGGACTGCTCTTTGCTCACCTAATTCCTGGTGGGATCTTGCTTTCCCAAAACGCCTGGCCAGGTTCTGCTCTGCCGAAGCTACCCAGGTCTCCATGGCGTGGTGGAGGCTCCAGCTGACATAACTTCTCTACTTGGGAAAAGATGACTTGGCAAAATTAAACTGTTTTTTTAAAACCCGCCAGTGTCAGCAGAACCGAGACAGGCCAAGTGGTTTCCCGGCCAATTCACCCAACTTCTCAGCAAATCGTTGGTTGAGCTCAAGGACCCAGAACGTGTCACCCAAACCGTGGTTCATCAGCACCAGAGGGTGACAGGGCAGCTGTCCTGACCTGAGTACAAGGTTGCTGCAGGAATTCAGTAAAACACTTAGATATGAACCAATACAGACTATTTTTTTCCCCCAAGCTGTGCTGCACAACTGTCTCTGCCTTTTCCAGACGTGTCACGATGCTGATGAGGCCACCGTGGCTCCAGGCAGGGCGGAGAAAATTCCCCCAACCTTCAACGACGTCAAATGAAAATATCCTTCAGGCTTTCTCAGAGAACTCTCAAAATTCCTGTTTTGCAAGAAACTTGGACAGCTTCATTTCTTGTTCATTAAAAAAGCAATTCCGTTACAGAAGCGACGTCCCTGTTGGCTCCGCGTCTGGATCTAGAGAGCTTCCACAAACCAACCGGCAAAAAACCCGGCAGCGCTTCGACTCCATGAGCTGAAGCTTCCACGTGGGTGCAAGCCTTAGACACGGCCCTGGTGCCACAGACGATGGATTGTGTTACCTGCTTCTGGAGTCCGGGTTTGGTACGTCCGCCAGTCACTCCACAGTCCTCGCTCGGGGTGGATTTTACAGCTGACCTGAAACTCGTAGGTTGTGTGAGGCTCCAGACCATAAAGAGTGCACTTCTCACTCTTCAAGCCTTCAACCTTGAATGAAGACAAAGGACACGGAACCTTAAACTCAGGAGGAAATAAAGGTTGAAGACAGCGACCGGCTGAGTGACTGACGCCCGAAGGAAGCCCAGCCAGCCAAAACATGTCTTTAAAAAACAACGGGGAAAACCCTGATCTGAGGCAACTTCAATAACTCAAAGAATGATGCAATGAGTCATCAGGCTTGGAGCTCTTCAGCTGAAAAATCCCTCGTGTAACTATGTGAAGATAACAAATTTTCACGTGTTTTACTCAACTTCCAGCCACGCATTTATTTTACCATTTCAAATAAAACCAAAGACTTCCAATCAACATTAAGGCAGGCACAAACGTTTGGAAATCGCACGTTTGTAGCCATGAGCTCCAATGAGCAGACATGACTGTATTTCAGTAAAAAAGCTCTGATTCCTCAGTTGCATCATACCAACACTTGACTTAAGGGACGTATTCGGGCACGCAGTTTTTTACAGGATCAGAGTTTTACCTTCGTTCGGTTTTAGATCAATGATCATTTTTGACCAGTAGGCAACAGCTTTTCTTAAATATGACCTTAGAGAACAGCGAAAGGCAAATTTGGACAAACTGATTCTAGTAAGAAATAACAATATTAAAGCAACTTCCAAGAATGATAATTCCCTTTGCTCTTCCAAGGAGGATTACCGTGCTCCAGGCGTGCCCGGCAAGCGGGCGGTATCTCAGCCTGCAGTGTCGCGCTCGTGCTTCGTCGTGCCAAAAAAAGGTGCAGCTGGTGGCAGAAGAGTTTGTGAATTCCACCAAAAAGCTGGGAGGATGTGGTTTCACTAGCAGCAAAAACAGAAAGAAGGAAACGGGGCTCAGATGCGCAGCACGGCTTGGAACACGGGGGGTTACTGGGAAAATAATTAATAATCGCTCGTTTAGACTGGATGGATGCTTCTTCTGAGAGGTTTGAACAAGAAGGCGCTCCAGGCATTTTCACATCTTTCTAAAGGGCTGGGGCTAAGTGCAAGGCAACAAGTAAAGCGTTTACCTATGTCTATTAACGTGAACACGAGCGGTTGTGAAAAAGCACTTCCTAGCTCGTTGGATGCGGCAACCACAACGGTGTAAGTAGAGTTGAAATTCAACTTGCCGAGAGCCAGCGAGCCAAACTTCTTATCCAGGCTATCTTCTGCAACACAGAAGACATCCGTCCCATTCGATAGCCTGGAACAGAAGGAAAACGCTCTGTTAATGCTCTCCTGGACACCAGGAAAGGTAAACCCTGGGTGTGTCGGGGCATAGCTCACGACCCCGTACAGTCGTGCTGCTCCAGGTCCCGTGGGGCTGCGGCTCTTCCAGCAGCTTCCCTGCGGGTTGGCGTTCCAGGGAGGAGCAGTGTGCTGGGAGCCACGTAGGTGTCTGCCCCTTGAAAGATCCGTCTGCTCCAACACAGCAGTTACAGTAAATGCTCCTCCAGCTAAATCGGTAGTCGAGGTGTTCACTGCTTTTGCTTTTAATCGCAGACAAGGGAAATACCTCTGGATTTCCACCAAGCTGCAAGTACGTGAGTAGGTGCCTTTTAATAGCGTAACGGTTACCTAATATTTGTTACCTACTATTTCTCTATGAATGAGCATGGTACACAGACTTTGGGGGATGATGGATTTTGGTTTTTGTTGTTTTTTAAATTCTTTTTACATGTTAGTGATGATTAAAAACTTCATTTATCTGGAGTCTAACGGTCAGACCACAAGACTTCAAACACAACTTTTAATTCCCAATCCATCATTTGACCCATTGCCTTGGGTAACTCATTTAGCTTCTCCGTGTATTTTCTTCCCCCTGAATCAGAGACGTTTATATCATGTTGCTTCACGTTGGCCTTTTGCATTTTGTAATATATTTAATAACTTCCTAGCAAGCACCACTATATCTCTATGTTGCATCAATTAGAGGACTCGTTATCCATGCTTCCTTACCCTTCTGCACATTTCCCATATATTCTCCTTCTGCTTAAAGAGCAGCAACAGGTTTCTACAAGCTGCTAAGAAAGTTGCTGCTACTTTGGCCAACAGTTGAAGGTGAAGAAAAAGAAAGTGTAGAAGAAGAGAGTGAAGAAGGTGAAGATGAAGAAGAAAGTGAAGAAGAAGGTGAAGATAAAAAAGGTAAAGAAGAAGAAGGTGAAGAAGGTGGAGAAGAAAAAGGAAGTGAAGAAGGTGAAGAGGAAAAAGGTGAAAAAGAAAGTGAAGAAGAAGAAAGAAGAAGAAGGTGAAGAAGAAGAAAAAGAGAGAGCCTCTCATACAAGGACATGGTCAACCTGCAGCACGTCAGAAGCAAACGGGAACTAGTTCAGCCTACCCAGTGATTTGCAAAGGGCAGAATTGATTCATTCTACCCAGATGTTTGCTTGAATAGAGGTTTTTAATAAGATTCCTGCTATGCATGGTGATTCTCAAAATCCAAAGGTCCCCTCACACGTGGGCCACTGCTAACCCTCCCCTTCCGAAAGCAATCCAGGACTCGGTGCACCCTCTTCACCTGCTGCACCCACAAGGAGCCCAACCTACAACTGCGCAGAACACCCAGATGTGACCAGAAAAGGGGGTTTAACTGCTCCACTTGGCTTCTGTCATCATGGCAGCCTTGGACTGACTTACTCATAAACCAACTCTTTGCGCGCTTTGATAAAGGTAAACCTTCAATAAATGGTGTAAAATTAAAAAAAAAACACATTATAGGTATTAAAGAGCCTACGTGTCTGCGTCACTCACTGTATGACGTAGGTGGTGTTGATGTGTGTGAGCTGTCCCTTGTCCCAGGTGCAGGTGGGATGCCCGTCTGTCCCGTTCTGGAGACACGACACGTTTCTGGGCTCATCCGGAGGATCTTAAACAGATATTCTTATCAGTTTCTTCCTTAAAGACGGTGGTAGAAGATGTTTTCAGAAACGCTAGGTTTGGCTTTTTGATTGTTTTGGGGGTTTAGAAGAATTTATAGAGAATAATTTTTATTATGTGAAAACAGCTGAGTCCGTGATCTCTGCAGCCTGGCGAGACCTCTGGCACTTGAGTGACTTTGCCAGGGTGCCAGATGAATACCAGGGCTTGGTACCACAAGCATTGCTTGAAGCAATCAACTATTATTCTTATTAAAAAAAAAAATAATAAAATAAGCAGCACTGGTGCAGCAGCATCAGCTCATCAGGCTACAAGAAAACTCAATATTAGACTTTTTCTTGCAAATCCTCCATGTCCTGGAGAGACTGGTGGGTGTCAGGGGTGGGACAGGAGGGAGTATGATCTTTGCTCTGAGCAGAGAGTTTTATTGAGCATCTCCCTGTTTATCTGAGCGTTGCACAGTCCCATCCAGGAATGTTTTAAATACAACGAGCCACTAAAAGGCAACACCTGTTCTGGAAAGGTGCTGTTTTCTAACACATCTCAGAGGTACCACAGGCAACGTTTAAGAACGAGGAATAATTAAATTCTCCTTACTTCCAGATTCTATATCGATTCCACAAATGAGTTTTTTCTTGTGTTCACAAACTACTTTGCACGTAAACATGTGTTTGCCATATGTACGGACTAGAAACTCGGTGCTTACTGAACTGCCGTAATTGCTAATTAGTTCAGAGCCGTTAAAGAAAATAGCTATCCTGCACTGCTCGGCGTGCCGCAGGGCTTCCCGCTGGCAGGAGAGGGTGACGCTGGTCCCGGGCCGGACGGGAGCAGCGGTGCTGGCAGTCATGTTCCCTTTGTCACACACTTCTGCGGCGCCGGGGGGACGTCGGCTGTCTTTGCTGTCTGCTTCTGCAACGGAACGGGAAAACGAACCTCCAGCATGGCTGCAGCCCTCCTCTTGTGCAACATCCCCGTTGGCTACGAGATGCTCTACGCTCCCCGAAACGGGCTTGCAGCACTAATTAGATGTTGCATCGACGTATGCCTGAGCTGATTCTGCTGAGAGGCAGACCCCGCCGCGCCGAGGACGAGGGGCATCGCCACGGAGAACGGGAGGATGCGCAGCAGCAGCAGCGGATCTGACGGAAATTACGGTATAAACCTAATCAAGCATCAAATTTTGGTCTAATAAGATAGACGTTTATTAGCGTACCACACAGAAGGTGGAAAAAAAACCAATCTAATTAGCCTGAGTGCTTCTTTTAAGTAATAATTGCTGCGGAGGGGAGAAAAAAAAAAAAAATCTTACCTGGTGTGAAGTGCACCAACAACCAAATTGCTGCGGGCACAATCCATGCAAATAGCATTTTGTTCCCTATGGAGAAATCAATACCTTTTACCAGTTTCTTAAAAGAAGTGGAAAAAATAATATACAGATGTTTGCATTTTACTATTTTAGAACTTCAGAAAAGCCAGAATGCCTGTTTCACGAGACTTTTCTAACGAGCATTTTCTGCTGACATTGTTAAGTTGTGACTTTCGAGACCCTATCCTGAGCAGCAGCTGGTTTTCGGATGGTTCTCCCCAGAGACGGGCACCAGAGCCAGGGGAACGGCAGTTACTGGTACGTGAAAACTCCGTGCTATAAAACCAGACACCTCTGTGCTTTAGAAAAATAAGTATTTGCTCCCTTGGCCCAATACCCCCCCTGCAAATCCAAACCAAGTTGGTTTTGGCTTGTCCAAGAAGGACCCCTCACGCTGTTTGTCCCCAAGGTCGGGTTCGCCCGCCCGCCACCAGCACAGCCCACGCTCTCCCGAAATCCCGCACCCTCTTTCGGACGGAGCAGCCCCTTCTCTGTCCCCCCCAGGACCTTCACGTGCTCTTCAGCAGGGCTGTGCTCAGGCTTTGTACGGATGACCCCAAATCCAATGACCTCATCCCAGATGACCAACACAGTCTCAAGATTCCCAGACCCGAGTACTACCCATAAAATTGCGGATAAGACCTTGGGAACTGGCAATCTTACAGCGCCTTTAGCTTGCTTTCCCAAAGGAAAACCCCCGCATCCCGCTGATTTACGACTGTTTAACTCTGCCCCGACGGACAGAGCTGCAGACGCACGCGCTGAGCACACGGGTGACGACACAACCCGACAAAACAGCTTTGGAAATGCTTTAAACTCCACGTGAGCGCTGGAAAATTCTGTTCAAACACAAACCTACGCCGTGCCTGGACTTACCAGAAAAAAACCCCAACACTCCAGTACTGGAAGTTAGCGATATAAACATTTTACACAAATTATTAAGGTCAGCCTGAACTAAGCTCAGTATTTTCCCATGCGTTTTGCAAGCAGAATTAATGACTATTTCCTTTTTAACCCTTCCCCTGCAGAACTTCGGGAGCAGCGAGAGGATACGGGATACTGCAGAAATGTATATATCCTTCAGAGAATATATTGGATACTTCACCAAAAAGCTCTTTCTGTAACTCCCGACCTGTCTCAGAGATGCAGCTGTTTTAATAATTTGATGCCATATTGGAAACAAGCTACTATAAAGTGAAACTTTCCATCCTGACAGCTTTTCCTGCCATCTTGGATGGAGGGGCACTTCCATGCGGATGCACTGCACAATATAGTCTTTGCTGTATGTATATTAATATAAAACCAACAAAAAATGTTGTTTCAGGTTGGTTTTATGTAACAAGATGGGATTCGTTCCGTGGTTTTTAAGTGAAGTGATACCTGATGTGAATGTAAAATATGTAAGATCTGCCAAAATGCATATTAACACTTTGCTTTATTTAAATCCAGGTGTTCTCCAGACGGAACTGCTCAGCCTCGCTGCAGTGCTTCGGCTTTACCCACCGACGCTTCACGCGGTGCCTTCCGTAGGTGATTAGCAACTGCGAGGATGAGCAATCACAGCCCCAACGTTCTTCAAGTAAATGCTCTGCCTTCCAATAAACTGAAATTGCCCCGTGACTGGGTAAACACCCTTCAGACAGCTTGCTCTCTGACAGCAAACTGTCCCTGAAATACGTGAGTCAACAGGCAAAAATAGTCTCGCCGTAAATAGTTTAAATCAGTGGTTTCCTTAGGTAAGTGCCAGACCATTTGTGCAGCATCGTACGAGCGCGGCGGAGCGTATAAACTGCGACCAGGGTGGAACAGGAGAGAGGAGTGAGAAACAACCTTCAGCTCACAGCAAAGGGATGTGGAACCAAAAAATGTAAGAAGAAGAAGAAACCCTCCAGGTTCCACATAAACGAGGGAAAATGGTATCGCTGTGCATGGATTGAAGGAAATATAAAGGACATTGTCCTGGTAAGTACAAGGTAGAGGAAGTACATGAAGTGCTCACAGAGTGCATGATCATGCGTGTTCATGCATGTTTGTATCTTTGAAATCTCAACCAAAACCAAGGGCTACAGACCATACGTTCTGTTTCCCTATGGATTTGCCATAAGGGCAGTGGCTCTTCACAGCAGCCGGCTCAGGCTCTTGAACTCAACCACCAGTAAAGCACAAAAACTCTGCATTTCGCTTTTAACCAACTTCTCATGCCCTTGCCCCAACTTCTCCCTAAAAAAGCTCCACGCAAAGCAAGTGTCTGTTCTAAGGCTCTTACAGGGAACCCGCCGGAACAACCAACCCACCGCCGCTGGAAAGAGCAACACTTCTCACTGTTACGTTTCACCCGGAAAAAAATGCGTCGCTCGTGCCCAAACTGCGCTGGTGCTCACATATGGCTACTAATGCCGTCTGCGTTTTTTGGGAAGCTTCCCGGCCTCGGTGGGATCCTGGGGGTTGCCCACGGCCCAGTGACACCCAGCACCCCAGGGCTGGGGAACCACAGCCTCCACGCCATCCTGCCCGAGATCAGCGACTCCTCGCCGGAGGTACTGAGTGCCAGGGGCTGGGTAAGACCTTCACCGTGCGAAGGAAAGGGACGGTGATACTTAAAGAGGATGCTCTGCAGCCCGGCCACCCCTAAGGCGGCTCCGACCCGGGGTGCAGGGAGCACCCCAGGGCAGGGAGCACCCACGGGCAGGCAGCACCCCGGGGCAGGGAGCACCCCAGGGCAGGCAGCACCCCGGGTGGG